ACCCTGTTGTTCAGTTGTTGGCTGATGCCTATATATGACTTCTTACATTTTGTGCATTTAAGTACATAAATTACATTTTTGGAGTTGCAGTTTAAGTTTTTATTTATTGTGAATGTTTTTTTTGGGTTTTCAAAAGTGTAGGAGTTTCCTTCTATAATGATGACACAAACCCCACATCTTTTTTTGTTGCATTTTGTGACTCCCTGTATTGTGTGTTGGTTAAATTTATGAGGTTAATATGTGTTTTAGGTTTCTAGATTGGCGTTTGCTCTTAATTATTTTGGTTGTTTTTAGTATATTATTCAGTTTATTATTCTTGCTAAGTAAGTCTAGATTTTTGTAATTTCTGTGAATATTTCTGGATTGTTTTTGTTGTATGTTGAGACATATGCTAGAGCTGGCTCCATGTTACGTTTCTTTTTATTTCTAAGTTGGTCTAGAGGAATTTCTTTCGCGAGTTCAAAACCTTTGTTTATTAGTGTTGTCGGGTAGCCTCGTTTTTTGAGAGTTTTATGTAGTTCTTCTAAGCGGATTTTTCGGAGATGTTTATCAGTCACTAATGTACAAATTTTACGTGCTAGGGAATATGGGATGGGTTTTAGGCATCTTTTTGGGTGATGGGTCTTGAAATGAAGGTATTGTTGGGTGTTTGTGGCTTTGTGGTAGATATTTGTGATTATGTGGTTATTTTTATTTCTAATGAGTATATCTAAAAATGGTAATTCGTTAAAATTATATTCTTGCGTGAATTTGATTTTTGGGTGTAAGTTTTGAAGTAGTGTATGGAATTGGTTAATATCACCCCATGAGGATTTCCAAAAGATGAAGCAATCATCTAAGTATCTTTTCCAAGATTTTATATTTGCCCCATATATTTGTTCTATCTTTTCATAGAGGTTTTCTTCTAGGTAAGCTAATGTTAGGGTGGCATACGTTGGTGCCATTTTTGTTCCCATCGCAGTACCTAGGGTTTGGATATAGTTTTTGTTGTCAAATTCAAAGGTGTTATTGTTTAGAATTAGGTCTAGTGAATCTCGGATGTAGTATTTCTGGACGTTTTTCAATCCATAATGAGATCGCTTTTTTTCCTAGTTCATGGGGTATGTTACTGTATAGGCTACTAATGTCAAAAGTTGCCATAAGTGTTCCCGGATCTACCTTTTGTGGTATGCAGCTAAGGAAAGGGATAACGTCTCTGATGTGGCTTTTAATTTGTTTAGTATATGGTTGCAATATTATGTCTATTAGGTTACTGAGTTTGCTAGTGGGACAGACTGGCCCTGCTACTATTGGTCTGAATGTAAGGTCACTGGGGTTTAGGATGCTAATGTATTCAGATTTTTGTGTATGTATAGCTGCTTTTATTTCACTCGATTTATGAACTTTAGGTAGTCCGTAGAAAGTACTTGTTTTTGGTACAAAGTTTTTTTTGTTAATATTTTATTATGTGTTGCGCAGAGTTTTGTAATTTTTGTTATAATGTTTTTGTCTATGTTAGTGCCAATTACTTTGTAGCTGTTCCTACCTCTAGTGTTTCTAGAATTTTTGTTTTATAATATGTTCTGTCCATGATTGCTATAGCGCTGCCTTTATCTGCTTCTTTTATAATTATGTTATTATTTTTTCGAATGTTCTCTAAGGCTAGTCTTTGTCTATATGTGAGATTGTCGAATGGTTTGGATTTTTCCTGTAGGTCCAGGTTCCAGAGTTTTTCAGAAAATATATTTATCTCATTGGTATTGTTATTTTTCTTTGGGAATAAATTGGATTTGTTTTTTACTAGTGACTCATCTGTACTATTTTCGCTATTGTTAAATATTTCTCTTAGTCTCAATTTGCGTTCAAATTCCTTAAGGTCTTTTTTTTAAGTCTACTATATTGCTTTTAGGAGCAGGGCAGAATTTTAGGTCCAATTTCAGTAGGTTGATTTCGTCATTTGTAAGTGTATATGTAGATAGGTTTATTATTTTGGGTTTTGTGTCATCTAAATTGGTTTTCTTGTTCGGACTGGGGCTTCTAAAAAATAATGATTGTTTCTTTTAATATATCTCGGGTTTTCCAAGAGATACCTTCTTCCTGTACATTTTGAGTTTTCTAGCCAGTGAGAGTTTCCCTTGGTAAAATTGGGGTTGTTGTTTCTCGATGGCTCTATATAGGTGTGTTTGCTTTTGTTAGGGGGCCTGTTCCAGATGTTTCTAGGTTTGTTGTTTTTGTATGGATTGTATGTGGATTGTGTGTAGAACTTTTTGTGAAATTCTGGTTGTACTCCTGGATATAGGTAATGGCTGTCAGGTTTGGTTTGTTGTGCTAGGTGGTATTTGTAAGAGTTGGTTGTGTGAATGTGTGTGTGTTCTGATCTTTGACTGTTTGTGTTATGGTGTGGTGGTCTGTACAGGTTTATTTTTGCGCTGTTCAGTGTATGTTCATAATTGTATTTTTTATGTGGGTGTGAATGCGTGTGGTGGTGGTATGAATTGGGGTTCCTACTTTGTGTATGTGTTTGCGTGTAGTAGAATGTGTTAGGATAATCACTTTGTGAGTTAGTTTGTGGATGTGTTTGCGTATGGTAGAATGTGTTAGAGTGCTTACCTTGTGGGTCTGTTTGTGTGTGGGGTGGGTAGGGATTCGAGTTTTTGACTCTGTTGGGTGGTTTTCTCTGTATTTGCTGATGATTGTTTTGTGTTGGGTATTGGGGGTTTTTGTGAGTTTGGACTGTATTTTTTGTTTTTGTCTCATTTTCCAATTTTTCTTTACTTGGTAATGCTTTTAACCAGGTTATCTTGCTTTCCAAGATATTCCGAGATTTTTCTTCCTCTTTTTACATTTTCACTCCCATAATTCAAACAGGAATTGGTGAGTTTCTTTGGGACATAATTCCTTGAATTTTGTTAATAATTTGTTATCAATCTCTGTGTATTTCTTTGTAAAGTTTATTGTTTTGTCTTCTTGTATTTCAATTTGGGCCTGCATTTTTGTTAGGCTTAGTGTGTTTTTTATTTGTTTTTGTTTTTCCGTGTCTTGTAGGTTAATCTTTTCGCGGAATTTCCTTGGAATAAATATTTCATCCATTTCTATGAAGGTTTTGTATATTTTTGCTGTTTCTTCATTTTTGATGGCGTTGAAATAAATATGCCAGTTTCTTTGATTGAGCATGTTGTTCCAAAGTCGGAGATTCTGTTTGGGAAGTATGCGTGTATATGTGTGTGTGTATGTGTGTGTATGTACTGATACATTGTGGTGGGATGGTGTGTATGTGCGTATGTGTGTGTATGTATGTATATGTACAAATGAGTTTACTAATTCCTCGTAGTAAGACAGTATATGTATGGAGGGGGAATATACGCACGCATATATACACGCATGCTGACAGAAACGCACAAAAATGGAAACAGATCCAAGAACACATAGGGTCAGTAAAACATTAAAAGACAAAATGCCGATAAGTAATTCATCATTTAGCTTGGACCAACCTTTATTGTTTTATGACCCTTCGCGCAGACCTCTTCACTGCCAATTCAAGAAAGACATTCGGATTACTAACACAAAAACAGAGAATGTCTCATATCGAGAATATTTAACATTGAAAAGCATAATGAAAAAATTAATTATTTTTAATAATATGTGGAAATCTCCGCTTTTACCTGAAGACGGTCACGAGACCAGAAACACGGGTAGTAAAATTATGTAAAACGAAGCATAATATTTTTCTAAATAAATTCACATTACAACCAAAAAACGTTTTGCAGCACCTCTCTTCTCTTTTTTAATATATATATATATATATATATATATATATATATATATATATATATATATATATCAGTAAAGGGCCATAAATAAAAAATTTGCATACTTGGTCCAGCCAACCAACCAGCATCAAATATATAGTGTCGTTGTCTTGACTATATATATAAGCTTACGCATTAGACCCAAACAAAAGAAATGGGACATGTGTGTTAAACTATTTCCCTTAATCCTACTCTTATACTCTCTCTCTCTCTCTCTCTCTTTCTCTCTCACACACACACACACACACACACACACACACACACACACACACACACACATATATATATATATATAGTTATATAGTTACTTCTAAAAGGGTTTTGGCCAGAATATCGCATTGCGTCATGAAACTGACGATCTCAATGCAGTATAGATTTTTATCTCAATACTCTGGATATTCATAAACGCTCGGATATTGAGCAATCTTCATCGATAAACGCAAACTGATAGAAATATATGATTAAAGGCTTGCTATATATGATAACAATTTTGTTCAAAGTTTTGCTATATTTATGCGTTAAATTGATCACTATCAGGGATAGATCTTTGTACATATAAAGTTCTGAAGACTGCGTTTTAAGCAAGAAACCAGACGATGAGTATTAAGCTCAAGGCCACCTTATATCTTCCAGGATACCCGTCTACAAGGGCGGCAAGACAATCCCTATTGAACCCATTTGTGTTCGTTCAACACCCACAGAGCACATCTGTGGTTTATACTGCAACTAGGCTGAGCAGACATTAGTTTCAGTTTCTGGGAGAGAGCGTGTTATCTAGAATGATCAATAATCCGAACAGCACTAACATGCTCAATCCCTCGGCTCTGATGACTTGTGGCTTGGTGCTGCCTAATTGCACTCACAAGGGTTGGGTCAACCTGTGGTATGGGTTTCAGGCACTTTCCAAAGATGCCGCACACTGGGATCAACTCGATCCAGTCAGATAACATCAGAAAGTCTCCTTCCAGACAAATCGACCATATATATATATATATATATATATATATATATATATATATATATATATATATATATAAATACAAAGGGAAGGAAGATGGAGATAAAGAGAGGTAAATAGATAGTGTGAGATAGAGACAGAGAAAGAAAATGGTAGATAAGTAAATTCATGAGTGAGAAAGAAAGAGGGTGATAAATTTGATCCGTTTGGCCCCAATAAATGCATTATATTGCTAGAAAACTGCTTATTTACTCCTAATTACAAAAATGAAAAGTAAAGTAATTTAAAAAAAAAACAACATCGATAAGAAAGAAAGAAATAAAGAAAGAAAGAAAGCAAGAAAGAAAGAAAGAATATTTGAGATCCGCTTTCAAATTGGAGAAAGAAGAAACAAAAAATATTATACGCACAAGAAGAAAGAAAATATTGAAAGAATGAATAGTGGAAGAAAGAAAGAAAGAAAGAAAGAAAGAAAGAAAGAAAGAAAAGGAAACGGGAGAAAGAAAGGTAGAGAGGTAAATATACTGTTCATAATGAGACAGACGCCTCAGCTGAAATAATGCAACAGACAGATGTATTGTTTCGCGCAAGTCGCAATATCGCCTGACACGGAATTCGATAAATGATGAAAAGAATAGATTCTTTCTACCGCGGAAATATTGACGTAAAACGTATTTGATATTCACTCAAGCATTTATATGGAGGTGATTTCTTTCGTTAGAACGCCAGGGGCAAATGAAGAGGGCGAAAGAGGTGACATTGGAAGCATAGGGATTTTTATAATAGAATCTTGCAAAACTGTATGTGATGGATAACAAGTGAATGCACAATGTGGTTCATCTCTCTCTCTCTCTTTCTCTCCCTCTCTCTAAACACACACACACACACACACACACACACACACACACACACACATATATATATATATATATATATATATACATAAGCAATCTTAATGCGATAAAAAAGTGCATTGGATAAATGTTTTCGATTAGTACACTAAAAATTTATCTAACAAAATTCCATATATATACATAAATAAATGTACAATGTACATCTTGCACGTTCACTTTAGATCTTATAATAATTTTATTC